CACACTGATTTGTCCTCTACCTGTATGTAATTGAAATGTTGGTGAGCTTCGCTGGTTATTTTACGCCCCATATTTAGTCTAAAAGTAAATGCACACTTGCACACTTCCACAGGTAAATGTACAAACTGAATACTGATACAAAAAACAGCAAAAAACACTAAAAGACAGTCGGCATAAAAAAGTCATGAAACAAAATGAAGGTTTTTCATAGAACTCACAGAACATACAAGCTCTGACAGAGATAAGAAATCTTGGAGAGAACCGAAATTAACCGGAAAAACCGTTTTGACTTTTAGGGGTTCCGGTTCGGTACCACTGAATAATAGAAGTTTGAATATGGGTTCAGTTTGGGTTTCGGTTCACAAAATAATATGGGTTCCGTTACGGTTTTCGGTTCATTACGGTTCCGGTCCGGGTCCCTGGCACTAGTACTACAGTTACGGAAAGCCACGCGATTTTCTCGCCTGGATATAAGAAATGCGTTCCATCAGGTGGAAATATCGGAAAACTCGCGATTTATCACTACATTCATTACTAAAAGATAGATAGATATAAACGGCTTATGTTTGGTATCACATGCGCCCCGGAGATTTTCCAGAAAATTATGGAGAACATTCTGATTGACTGTCAAGGTACTATTAACTTTATAGACGATATAATAGTTTTCGGTGAAAATGAGAACATACGAAAGCGTAGAAGCGCCACATGATATATTTTTTTAATAATTGACAGATATAACTGTCAACTAGCCTAATAGACAGATACTAAGTCGTAAGTAGTATACTTGACAGATACTAAGTCGTAAGTAGCATACTTGACAGATACTAAGTGGTAAGTAGTATACTTGACAGATACTAAGTCGTAAGTAGCATACTTGACAGATACTAAGTGGTAAGTAGTATACTTGACAGATACTAAGTCGTAAGTAGCATGCTTGACAGATACTAAGTGGTAAGTAGTATACTTAACAGATACTAAGTCGTAAGTAGCATACTTGACAGATACTGAGTGGTAAGTAGTATACTTGACAGATACTAAGTCGTAAGTAGCATATATTACAGATACTGGCTCAGAGCTAATCGACTTATCAATGATGATTCAACTGTAACATATCAATACAACAAAATATACTGCATAAAAGCTTGTATGACATTTTTTTTTCAATTCTTAGTGTTCGACCTCGAAAAGCCTCATGAACGGCTGAACCGGCTCAACAACCTATATATTTTTTAAATCAGAAAAGGAGGATTCTCAATTCATTCGAAAAATATGTATAGGGTGTTCCATTTAAAATAACGAAGTTGGTACCCATTTCTTATATCAGCACCTCGTACAGTGAAGATTTGGAGACTGGTTATAAGTGCTAAAATACAAAATAAAAAGACCAAAAAATACCACAATACGAATTTTGGCAACTAAGTAGCCATCCTCAGTAGACCTGCGTAAAGTAAAAATGATTAACTGACTCGCATAGTGGCTGACTCCTTAGTATCTTTCGGATATTGCAGGTCGACCTCTGGACAATATCCGAAAGATAAATCGAAGGAGTTAGCTAATCATTTTTACTTTACAGGTTGGCAATTTAGTTGCTGAAATACGCGTATTTAGGTTTCTCTAAATATTATGGTATTTTTGGGTCTTTATATTCCACCTCGTACAATTTTCTGGATGTTGAGAACACACCCTACAACTTTTGTATTTCAAGTTTGTTTCTATCTTCAATGATGAACTCTGTAGAAGCTCTTTAAATATTCAGGGTGTTTCTTGAGTACGTGTAAAAAAATCAGGAGCATGTTGCTGGCGTCAAAATAAGAAGAAAAGTTCGTATAAACATATATGTCCGCAAGTTATTCATTATTGAGATACAGAGTGTCAAAGGAATCTTATTCCTGTTTTTTGGGAATAAATTTGGTATCTCACTCGAATTCACCAAAAACCGGAATGACAAATAATGAAACTTTGACACTCTGTATCTCAGAAACAAATAACTTGTGGTTTATAAAAACTTTTCTTTTTATTTTGACGTCAGCAACATATATGCTCCTGAATTTTGTACACGTACTTAAGAAACTCCCTGTGTACAGAAATGGCCGTGTACATGGTGCAGATTTTGATTCTGAAGTAAATTGTTGGGAATTGAGCAAATTGTTATTTAATATATAAATTTAAACATTGTCTTGAAAAAATTGGACGTCCTGATTCCGAATGTCGGCATTGTATTCTTCTTCTTCTTAATCTTCTTTGTTTCTTGGCGATGGCGAGTTTCTTGGCCTATCTGTCAAGTATACTACTTACCACTTAGTATCTGTCAAGTATGCTACTTACGACTTAGTATCTGTCAAGTATACTACTTACCACTTAGTATCTGTCAAGTATGCTACTTACGACTTAGTATCTGTCAAGTATACTACTTACCACTTAGTATCTGTCAAGTATGCTACTTACGACTTAGTATCTGTCAAGTATACTACTTACCACTTAGTATCTGTCAAGTATGCTACTTACGACTTAGTATCTGTCAAGTATACTACTTACGACTTAGTATCTGTCTATTAGGCTAGTTGACAGTTATATCTGTCAATTAATAAAAAAATATATCATGTGGCGCTTCTACGCTTTCGTAAGAACCAGCATAACCAGAGATTGAAAAAGACGCTAGACACACTTAGGAATTTCAACGTATTACTCAACGAGAACAAGTGTCAATATTACATGCAGTCCATCACGTTTCTTGGTCATATTCTTTCATCCAACGGCATTAAACCGTTGGATGTACATATCAAGGTGATTAAGAGTTTTCGTGCCCCCAAAACAATAGAAGAATTACAGAGTTTTCTGGGCATGGTAAATTTTGTAGGGAAATTGTTACCTAATCTGGCAACAGTGACCGAACCTCTAAGGAAACTTTTGCGACTAAAACTGGGAAAAAATGCAAACGTCGAACGTCACTGGGGCCACGAACAAAAAGAATCATTTACCAAGCTGAAAGAATCACTCTCGAGTAACTCAATTTTAGGATACTACGATCCTAAGGACCAGACCCAGGTTATAGCTGACGCAAGGGACCCTAGTCTTCCCCATGTCCTTGTCTTCAGTTGCTCCAACGTATAATACATTTAATAATGGACATTGGAAATGGGAAACAATGGAGAAGAAGGTCATATTAACCCTAATTTCTCCCCATTTCCTGTGTTGCCAACATAAAAATATGGAGAAAAAATCTAGTGAGCTGGAGTTCCAGCTCACTAGATTTTCTCTCTATTTAGCAGACAATGGGAGACATTTTTTCTAAATCATGGTTGGTAGAACTGATGATAATTTAACAAAATAATCATCATTTCTACCAACCTTGGTGGAGATAGCACGTCGCCCCACCTGACGGTATTAACTTGAGCGGTTTGTTCAGTGCTGCCAACTCAGCCATTTTATGGCTAGTTCTAGCCACTTTTCAACTCATCTAGCTACTAAATATCGCATTTAGCCATTTAGCCATTTTTTATAGCTATATTTTATTCTGAATTTCTATAAAAATATTCTCATTTACATGATATTCCTATAGAAACTTCATTGTATTCACTATCTAATGTAAGTAAAATTCAAACCAGTCTGTATTTCTATGGATTTTGTTCTCCATAATTCGTGCCATTTTGAAAACTTGGGTGCGTTCTTCATTTCAACATTTTGTCATGCGCATGAATCCAAGAAACATTGACGTTGACGTCAGTGACGTCAACACATCACGTCATACGTCAATGTCAATACTACTAGAGTGAGGGTCGGTTTATCAATTGCCAATATTATCCATCAGTTAGTTATCCGTCAGATAAAAATATCTAGCAGATAAACTTCCAGTTTGTTTGGAAGTGGTTTATCAACTCATTTTTATTCTCCAGTTAATCAACTGCCAGATAATGAAAGTTGGCAATGCTGATGAATAAATGTAAGCAATCTCATTGGTTGTTACAAGAACAAGGTCATGTCACATCACGACCGATCATGAGTAGTCACGACCGTTTTGTTAGGTTATTGTTGATGTTGATTGTTTTCGAGGTTTTCGAGGCTGCTTGGAGTTACGAGGCTACAAAAAATCAACTACTCATTATGTACTTTAAAGAGAACTGAACCTTTCTTACAGTGCCACTACTGCAGCTATTAAAGGCTGCTTCAACCTGCACCCAAGCCTCCTCTTTCGATTTCCAGGTTGCCCCATCTGTTTTTTTATTTTCAATCACACGTTTGTATTGATTCGCTATTTTAATCAGCAAATTTTTCTCCTCTGCTGTGAAATTGCATCCTCTTTTCTTTGTAGAACTACTAGTACTCTCCATTTTCAACTTTTTTGTCACACCAGAAAGCTAGGAAATCAAAACAACTCAATAAAGTGAGGTTATGTATAGGCATTAACCTCCAGATATCGACTATCCGCCAGTTAAAACTTACAGATAAATATTTGACATTTTAACTGCCGGATAAAGTTACCCTGGTGTAGATAAACCGACCTTTCCAAAAAAACTGGTAGTTAAGCTTTAACTGACAGATAAATTGTAATTGATAAACCGGCCCTCAGTAGTCTAGCTCTAGATCTAGGCTCTAGCCTCAAATTTATAATGTCAGAATGGTAGTTCACGGTCTGATTTTTTTGTTTTTGCTAGAAAAATTGGAAAAAAATGGCTAGATTAGCCAAAAAATGGCTAAAAAATTTTTCGCCTGCGGCGCGCTTTCGTTTTTAGCCATAATTCAGCCTTTTTCCAAGCGTCATCTGGCCGTTTTTAAACTTGGCTATTGGCAACACGTTTGTTTTGGTGATATAAACAGAAAACACATGTGAACCAATGAAAACAAAGTGAACATACCGCTTTGACAGCTTTCAAGAACTCCGATAGGTAGCGTCTAGTTGCGGCGAATCTCCCGCTCTACTCGCTACTCGCTCTAGCTCTAGAGTAGGGATGAGTTTAGGACAAATTAATAATAATAGACAATAAAAATAATAACAAATAATAATGTCCAATAGTGGTGATGAATCCAAAGATGATTTGAAGAGAAGAAATAAAAAACAGCTACATATCAATTTCAAAGCAAAGAAAAATACTGTTATCGACGATTTCAAACTCAAAAGAAGATTAGAGGTATTAGAACCACTGTTTCTTGAAATAAGGCTAATGAGGGCCGTCATAACTCACAATACTGAAGTTGTAGAAAATCTTTTGAAATCTGGTGTTAGTGCAAATAGTACAGATTCTGACGGAAGAAGTGCTTTACATGTTGCAGTAAGTAGGGGTTATGTGGACATTGTAGAACTGCTTCTGAGTCATGGGGCTGATCCTAACAAGAGAGATATAATTCAAAACACACCCCTACATTTAGCTGCTTGTGTCCATAACTTAACAATTGTATCAATGCTTATAAATGCAAAGGCAGATGTTAGTTGCCTAGATTTGCATGGAAGGAATCCTTTTCAGTTGGCGTCCAGTAAACTACAGATATTACAAAAAGGTTGGAAAGAGGGGGCGATAGAAATGATCAAATTGAGAGAGGAACTAAAACAGGTTTGTACAAAAGTATAATCACAGAAGTTTGAGATATTTTCTTTATTGTTGAAGGAAACTATAGCCTAGGCCTGTATGTATGTATGTATGACTAATTTATGAAAAATCTGCCCTTGGTCATACCACAGAAGCATACATAATTAGTCTGAGGAAACATATTTCCTTTAGTCAGTCTGAAATTTCTATGAATTTGATTCCAGAAGAGAAAGTAGACAGTATGATATTCATTTCTTTTTGCTCTGATGAAATGCCTGGACTGTGGTGCTCTCTCCTAGAAATTCGTTTCTAGAATAAAAACTGTTAGGAATATCCTGGGGAATATCCCTACCATTAATTGAGATGAAATGTTTCTCATGAAAATTAAGGATACTTTTTGGAAGTGGTGAAATTTCTAGATATTCAGTAGTAGTAGTAGTAGTAGTAGTAGTAGTACCTACCTATAACTGTGTACTTTGTTGATGTGTATGTAGGACACACCAACTTGCCATAGACCTTATGAGAGTTCCTTCAATTATGTGTATTCTGTGTAGGTTTTGTTACTGACTCTATACGCCAGCTATGGAGTAGTACTGTTAATTGGAAGGCAACAGTGAAGAGTGCGGAATCATCTCCAGTTCATATGATCAAATATAAATTGTTAATACACCATTCAATTGGTAATACTTCATGCTACAAAATGAGCTCTTGTTTTTATAGCTTTACTAATTTTTTTAGAAGACTGTTTTTTTCAGACATACTGAAAAACGTGATTTTCATACATTTTTCACTGTACAGGGTATCCCAATTTGGGCACTTTTGCTGGGTATCTCCCTTACCATTAAAGATAGAGCATTGTGGTTTTTGCAACAGTGTGCTATTTTTTACGAAATTAATAATGGCGCAAGCAGAATTGTCGAGATACAGGGTGGAATTGAATATCACTTTTCAGGCACCCCCCTCCTGTGTCTCAGTTATCTTTGAACTTATTGAAGAAGTTAAAACTTGTTCTAATAGAGTTTTTCTCGTAGAATCCAGTGGCGTAGTTATTTTTTTGCAAGCACCTTTTTTTTTAGTTATGAAGCGAACATATGTTTTTTTTTTAAATGAAACACCCTGTATATTATTTTATATATTCGTTAATCATGAAGTGGGCTTCCCGAAAGTATATAATTGTATACAATTATTTTGAAAAACAAGCTTAGAATTTCAGATTTTCAAATTGATCTGTCTAATTATAATAGGTAGGCTGTGGCTAATTTGTTTGGAACAAAAAGCAAAATGTCAAAACTTCATGTGCTATTGTCAGTTTCTGATTATTAGTGAAATATTTTTGCTGTTTTGGTATTTTCAATTCCCGGTCCAAAATATTTAATTTATTTTACAACAATGGCGGTTTACGATACAATAACTGAGACACGGGGGTGCCTGAAAAGTGATATTTTTCAATTCCACCCTGTATCTCGACACTCGGAAGAGCTATCACAATTCTGCTTGCGCTATTATTAATTTCACACAAAAGTGGCAAACTGTCGCGAAAATCGCAATGCTCTATCTTCACTGATAAGGGAGATACCCCGCAAAAGTGCCCAAATTGGGATACCCTGTACAAATTCGCTGGAACAAGAGTCAATGTCATAATTTCTCATTATACAGAGTGGGCCTTTGAAAACGAAACAGAGGCTCTGTAGGTTGCCAAAACCGGATTATGAGAAATTTATGAAACACGTCAACTACATTTTCGAGATGGACATCGGTCTAAAATTTTCAGCCCTGCGGCGTTGCCGCTTCTAATGAAAACAAGCAACAACTTTGTTATTTCAAATGGAACACCTTGTATTTTATTGCATTTTTAGATTCTCCCCGAAGAGCTGATTTCATCAATGCATCACACTTGGGGTCTAGCTGTAATGGTTTCAGGAATATAAAGTATTCAAAATCGAGATTTTTCAACTTTAGCATTTTTTTGTGTCGAAACTATTCATTATTGGTCAAAACGGCTTTCATGTCCCTATCTCAACTTGTGATTTACTATCTACTAACATGTATTTGAAAGGTTCAAGATTCAGAATTCTGATCACCCTGTATCTGTTCCAATTAAATGTTAGTAGATAGTAAATCACAAGTTGAGATAGGGACATGAAAGCCGTTTTGACCAATAATGAATAGTTTCGACACAAAAAAATGCTAAAGTTGAAAAATCTCGATTTTGAACACTTTATATCCCTGAAACCATTACAGCTAGACCCCAAGTGTGATGCATTGATGAAATCAGCTCTTCGGGGAGAATCTAAAAATGCAATAAAATACAAGGTGTTCCATTTGAAATAACATAGTTGTTGCTTCTTTTCATTAGAAGCGGCAACGCCGCAGAGCTGAAAATATTTTAGAACGATGTCCCCTCGAAAATGTTGTTTGGCGTGTTTAAGATTTTTTTCATAATCCGGTTTTGGCGACCTACAGAGCGTCTGTTTCGTTTTCAAAGGCCCACTCTGTATATGTGAATGATGATGACAAAAAATATCCATGAGGTTTCATCAAGTTGTACTCCATGATTGGGTTATTGAATGATAGACCGCACCCTCTGCTGTACTAGTAATTTTCATTTATCTTCTAATTTTATATCAGCTTCTTTATCTTATCTCAAGTTTCAATCTTAATGAAACTAACGAGAACATATAACAGGGTTATCCTTTCAAAGAAATAAAAAATAAGAAATCGGGGAATCGGAGGTATAGATGAAATTTCAGTTAATGATCTTGAAAGTATGTCTGATACTGCTTCATTGGTCCTGGCAAAATGTATAAATTTTAAAAATGTTATTGTAATTCCACTCCACAAAGGTGCTGAAACCAACGATTCCTCAAATTCCCGTCCAATATTGCTTCTATCTAGGCTTCCTAAAATCATCTCATAAGTCATAGAAAGAGTTGATAAATAGAGAATGATTAAATCGATGATTAAATACTCACAAAAACATTGGAGGAGTTCCCTGTATAAACTTCAGTAGATCGATATAGTGAGCTATGTGATGACGGATAATTTATTATTATGTCAGTCATTTTTGGTGACAGATTAAAACTGTAGATAATATAATAAAAACGTTTATAAATCGGCTTAATTATCTACAATTGGTGACAGCAGCAGATTCTCCGACATTTCAACATCGGTACTGTAGGATCTGTTCGAGGATCTGTTGCAAACCGGGAATTGAAATTTAAAGCAGTTATCAAAGAAACATATCCTGAGGTAGTGAATGTTAGTGATTTCGACTTCACAGAACTCTTGCAGGAATTACAGTCCCACAGTTCCACCCAAGAAGATCCAATGGGCAATGTCCTTCAGAAGTTGAATAATTTAGAATATATATGTCAACATTTAGCAGACAAACAAGATGCATTCAAATCCAGATTGGATGTATTAAAAAAAATGCGTGACAAAAAGGTAACATTTTGAACCAAATATCAATACAGAATGTTCCATCTACCGTTAATCCAATTCATACATCATCGTTGCTAACTAGTGAGAACGTATCGGAAATCCAGCTAAGTCAAATAAAATCTCGAGTAAAATCTGTTAATCGACCTACATTTTGGAAAAATGAACCAGAACTATGGTTCAATGCGGTGGAAACGATATTCGAAATGCATGGAATTAGAAACGACAAAATAAAATTTGGAAAAGTCATCAATATTGGATTGTTCTCTTGCCAAAGAAAATTGTAATTTATTCAATGTACAAAATGAAAATGATAGTTATAAGTTTTTGGAAGCACAACTCATTAAGATGTACCAGATTTCGGACGAGGAAAAAATGACTAGACTTTTTCGAGAATGTGAATTAGGTGATAAAAAGCCAAGCCAATTATATCGTGAAATGACAAATTTAGCGTCTGGTCAAATGACAAAAGAATTCATAGTTTTAGCTTGGCTCAACAAATTGCCTTCAACAGTAGAACAAGTGATTAGAGCTTTCCAGGAGAAATCGAGTGACGACGAGCTCTCTAAAAAAACAGATACCGTTGAAGATAAAATTTATCAACTTCTTAAAGGAATTGAAGAACTCACTCCAACGATAGGAGATAGTAATTGGACACCGAGACGATTCAGATCAAGATCAAGACCTATCCAAGCCAAGCTACGATAAAAACATTTGCTACTATCACAGGCATTTCAAAACTAAATCAACCAGATGTACGCAACCTTGTGATTATAACAAAAATTCCAATAGTTCGGAAAACCCATCGGCCAGTCGGTAATTGCGGCTGACAGGCCATAGCAAAAGTCACTTTTGTTTATATATGACCCGACAACAAAATTGCATTTCTTAATCGACTTATCTATTAAGTGCATTGTCCACGAATCATAAATGTCTTCTAATATTATTAAAACAATAAACGTCAATTCTCCTTATTACGAGATTTTGAAAGAATTTTCAAATCTAACAAAGTCTCTCAATCAAAAGAACGTTGAAGGTGTAAATATTGAACATCAAATTATTACTGAAGGCCAACCTATTCATTGCAAATTCAGAAGATTGAATCCAGAGAAATTAGCAGCTGCAAAAAAAGAAATTTGAATATCTCATGGAACAGCGCATTGTTCGTCCATCAAAGAGCTCATGGGCCAGCCCATTGCATATCTCTAAAGGGCCAAGTGGAGATTGGAGACCTTGTGGCGACTTCAAGTTGTTGAACGCCATGACAGTTCCAGATAGATATCCGTTACCAAAAATCAAAGATTTTACTTCATCATTTAGATGGAAAACATATTTTTTTTCAAAATGCCGTTCGGATTAAGAAATGCAGCTCAATCGTGCCAGAAGTTTATACATGAGATAACTCGAGACTCGACTCGAGATCTCCTATTTTGTTTCCCATATATCGATGACTTTTTGGTAGCCTCTGAAAATGAGAAAGAACATGAACAACATTTGAAACAACTTTTCAGTAAGCTTCAAGATCACGGTGTTGTTATCAATTCAGAAAGAAGTGATTTTGGCAAAACATCATCTTGTAACACAAG